TGACAAGTTTGGGCCTGAATCTCATTTGTTGCTCCACATTTTAAAAGTGAGCACTGGTTGGCTTTCCAAACTAGTGGAGCGGTGGAATTCTGACCAGGCCTTTAGAGTTGCAGAGCAATTTGTTTGTACAGTTAAAGTTGTCAACAATGCAGCGGAGCATGGTGTCAAGTTAATCTTGAATTTTGATAAAACCATTACAACTAATATTGAGCAAAGGGCATGGTTGTTGCAGGGTGTTGAGCAGCATAGAAAGTTATATTCCAGTTATAGAAAGTTATATTCCAGTTTTGATAAAAAGACACTAAATTTGTGATAATGTAGTGTAGTACTAAATACTATATGAGTGTGTTGAGTATAAGAGATTAAACACTTTTCAAGAAAATTTTTTAAGTAAAAACTGTAAAGTCCTTTGCTTTTTCTAATATTTGGTCACAAAATTGACTAAAACATTTTTTTAAGTTGAAATGTTAAATGTAACATTAACTTAATTTTTTTTTTGTAGATCTGAATACCTTTATATTAAACATGATTTTGTTTAAATAATGTTGTTATATTTATAGAATTATAACATTTTACTATGTAAAAGATTTTAATTTTCGCTCTAAAAATGGGGTTCAAATTTGGAGGCCTTGAGGGACCTCATCACTTATTAAAAATCTGTACAAACACTTCATGACGATTTTACACTTTATACTTATCCTGGACAACCCTAACACACAGATATATATATATATATATATATATATATATATATATATATATATATATATATATATATACATATATATATATATATATATATATATATATATATATATATATATATATATATATATATATATATATATATATATATATATATATATATATATATATATATATATATATATATATATATATATATATATATATATATATATATATATATATATATATATATATATACAGATATATATATATATATATATATATATATATATATATATATATATATATATATATATATACAACACACAGATATATATATATATATATATATATATATATATATATATATATATATATATAAATATATATATATATATATATATATATATAATTTTTTATTTGAGTTGTTTGCTATAATAATCAGTAGTCTGGTGTAAAAGGGTATTGGTATTTTTTTCTCGGGTGAAATTGATGATTTTTTTAAAAATTTTAGTTTATGCAAAGCTGTATACTTTGTTTTCAGGAGCAAATTATCATTCTTTGTTCAAACATTATTAGTAATTCTAAACTTTAATCAAAGTAGATAAGCATCTAGAAAAAAAATGGATATTCAAATATTGTTAAAAACTTCAGGAACTTTTACAAATACATTTTACCAACTCTATAAAAATCTACTTAATAAAAAGTTTTGCATTATGAAAAAAGCTACTGATAGTCCGTAAAAATGTGCATTAACTTTAAAATCAACCAATAAAAAGTTTTCATTAGTTGATTTTAAAATTAATGCGCATTTTAATGGACCAAAAGTAACATTTTTCATAATGCTAAACTTTTTATACAGTACATTTTTATAAAGTTGATTGAGTTCCTTAATAAGTTTTGAATATAATTTGAACATCCATTTTACTTTATATTCTATTTTTCTAGATGCTTTTCTACTTCACTTAAATTTTGGAATTACTTATGCTGTTTGAAGAAAGAATGAATTATAAAAGTTATAAGTGTGTTATAAAAGTAATAACACTTTTAAAGTGTTATTACTTTTATAATGCAGTTAGTTACTAGAGTGTTATTACTTTTGTAGTTGTAAGTTTATTGTTTTATTTTTTATAACTTTTTCACTAACAAATTTGAATTGATTCGCCCCTTAAAAAACAAATTACATGGTTTTGCATAAACTAAATAAATTTTAAAGACCAGATATTCTTTCAGATTTCACATTTTGCAATCGCTTAATTCAACCCTAGAACTACTTTAAATGCTTTTTAAAGTTATATATATATATATATATATATATATATATATATATATATATATATATATATATATATATATATATATATATATATATATATATATAATTATATATATATATATATATAATTATATATATAATTATATATATATATATATATATATATATATATATATATATATATATATATATATATTATATATATATATATAATATATATATATATATATATATATATATATATATATATATATATATATATATATATATATATATATATATATATATATATATATATAACTTTAAAAAGCATTTAAAGTAGTTCTAGGGTTGAATTAGAATTGAATAGGGTTAATTTCCAATTTTTTTATTTTTTCAAAAATATTGTTTTTTCGACTACCCTAATATATATATATATATATATATATATATATATATATATATATATATATATATATATATATATATATATATATATATATATATATATATATATATATATATATAATAAAATATTTTTGGTACTAACTAAATGTTTTGCTCTATGCTTTGCTATTGACAAAAGAATATCTTGCTTTAACGCTTCATTTAGGCACAGTATCAAGTAGTCTTGAATAAGTTTTAGCATTCTTTTGGCAGGATCATTTACTACATGCAGTCCTTAAATCTTCTGTAATGGCTGTATTCCCCCCATTCCTTACAACTAACTTGACACCATTCAAGATCGTTCTTTGTAAATCCAATGTTCTCAAAAACAAGCAAATCATGCCTCCTACAAATGATGACAGATTAGAAGTATTTGGATTTTTGTACTGCTCTTGAAAATTTGGCTTGCAAACATCTGCCAACATTTAGAGTTAGAGTTAAACAGCTTTTTAGCAACACTTTCTCTAACTTCGGGCATTAGTTCCTCGTCAGCTATGGAAGAAATAACTGCTCTCTGGTTGTGGTACCAATGATGTTGTTTCATCAGGTCAATGCATGCTTGGGCAATATAAGTTCTTTTATTTTTATAATTTTTCATATCTCTGATTGGTTGTAAATCCATATCTGGAGCTGTAAATGCAAAAGGAGCTTTTAAAAACCAAAAAGTATAAAAAACACCAACAAACTCAGCAAAAACTATAAAACATGACATATCGTTTGCAGAAAAAAGATTTTAATCAAGTTGTGGATTAAAAAGGCAAAGTACAAAATTATAGATTGATTTAGCAAGATATCTTCCATGATGGAAGGCACCAGGTCTTTTAAAATGAAATCGTGACAAATCCATCTAGGTATACAATTGTTAACTGGAAAAGGTACTTATAGTCACTTCTAAGAAATACGTTTTCTTTTAAAGTTTCAGTGCAAAACCATAAGACTTTATTAGCCTAGATAAATATTTATTCAATTATGAGAAATTATTTGTTTGTCAATAAAAAATATGCTTTATTAATGTTATATATTTTCTTTCCTAATAATAAGTCTTAACAGTTTAAAATCTCTAAAATATTTTTATCTCACCTTATTTTCAATAAACGTTCCACAGTTACTTTTCGAGTCGAACTTGTTCATATTCTCATATTTATTCCTTTAGCAAACATTTTATCCCAGTTATCGTGTAATGCTTTAAATGTATTGTCTGTAGGTCCAGTTGTAACTTTGCCTGTCGCTTTTTCTATTTCTTTAGCTCAGAGTTCTACATCATGGTGTCTACGTGCTAACCAAATTAGTAGTTTGCCTTTCCATCTCTCAATAATTGACACTGCTTCATTAATCCATCAGTAGTTCTACCTATTTAAGGCAGCCAATGTATATACACCCCTCACATGTTTTACCTCTGTAAGTCAGTCAATGTATGAACATAAAATGTTGAAAAGTGTTCACTTGAGCTATTTGCTGATAAGAATTAACATCATTAAAATTAGTTTCATATTAAAAAACTACAAATAAATCTCACTGCATTCAATAATACATTCAATGCCTAAGCAAATTAGAAAAATATATGGGAAATAGATTTTAAAAATTGTGCTTGAACCCATAATGTGACATTAGGAGTAATATAAAGCATGACATAACAAACAAAATTATCAAAGTTTTTAAATTAAAAAAAAAAATTAAGATTCTTTTGGAGGTAGCAGTACATTTTTTTTTTTTTATCTTTTAAAGTTTTATTTAGTTTTTTTTTCCATAATATATAGCAATTTTCATAGGTGTGATTTACACCTAATGTATATATACAACCTAATGTATATATAGGTGTTATTTACAACTATTTTAGTCTAAAATAGATGTAGATAACACATAAACCACAGCAGCAATATATGTGGAAGAGTTAACAAGAAAAAAAACAACTAAAATTGGTATATACTTTTTATTGTTAAGTATTGAATAGTTTTTAAAAACTTTGTTTAAAAACATTTTAAGTCAATTTATTAAGTCAATAGTATTAAGCAAAGAAAATCAAGTCAAATTTGTAATAATTAGTATCAATATTATTTTAGTGATTAGTATCTATTAAGTAAAATTTGTTTGCTTAAAAGTGTCGAGCAAAGAAATTTTAAAACAAAGACTTCTTGAAAACTGCACATTTGGCTTGTAAAAATTAACAACATTTTTCTTTTAAGTTTTTTAAAAAGTTTAAGTTAAGCTGGTACATTCTCTAAACTACACTATTATTTTTTTTTTAACAACTTTACTTTCAACAACTTGTTGGCAACAAGACTGCAAGCAACCACTATTAGTTTTGGAAGTTACTGGAAGAAAAAATATGAAGTTTATAAAACAAAATAACGATTTAAAGACGACTTAAAAGATTGCAAATTATATGAATTGGAAAAACAATAAGGGAGCTTTACTCTACCAATAACTAAGAATTCATTTTAAGTTACATCATACTTAATGAATAAGCATGATGTAACTTTAACATTTTTAGAGTGAAAACATTACTGTTATAAATTTAATGATAACTTGAATTTGACTAATATAAACAATTATAATAGCTAAAAGCTACTTTATATTAGTTATGTAATGTAATTATAAAATATATTGATACCTACGACCTCTATGTTTAGATGCTACCGTTGCGTCCTTGTTATTTAAGCAGCGTGCATAGTTTTTCTTATGTTACTACATAGAATTACTAGAAATTACTTCCGCGCAACTAGTTTTTCGGTGTAATAATGTTCTATACTTATCCAAATTTTAATACATAAAATTACTAGAAATTACATATATGTGACCAAGAATGAAAATTTTACCCACTTTATGACTTAGTTGAAAAGAATTATTAATGATATATATATATATTTTTTTTTTGGATTTACATATTTATTTATTTATTTGTCTGAAAGTAAAATTTTTCATAAATTGCATTCAAAAATTTACATTATTTTTACGCAAAATTAGGTCAACTGCTGACTAAGGGAGGTCGATTTTGTACTTTTTTCAAAATTTTAACTTGCTGCGCCCTCAGATAGCTGGAAAATCATGTCAGGAATTTAGAACAATCTTGCTTTTTTTTCTATGCAAGCCAAATTTTTCGCAAATGAAAAGAAAAATTCAGTAAAAACGTCAATTTGACTAAAAATCTATGCAACAATTGAAGAGTGTAATCCAAAAAAAGTAATTTTATATTTTCCGATTTTTTAGATCTCTTGCTTCCATTTTCAGTACGAATGTTGCTGTGTTGTTATAAATTAGCAAAATCATTGCCGAAAATTTCCAGTTACCCCTAACTTTACACTTAAAAACTGCAAACCATACGTTATTAGATAATTCTTCAATTTTTTTTTAAATAATCAAACTGTGGCATTCCCGGTCTTACTTTGCAGCCTTTAACTATATACTATTTTTAGTTATAAAACAGTTTAAATACAAGTTGAGGTTGAATTTTACAGGGTTGCATGACAGTGACAAATCCAAGAATATTTCGTGGGGGGGGGGGGGGGTGAATTTATTTTTGTATTTTGTATGAGATTTAAGTCTCCTAAAAAAAAATAGGTCCTCTATTTCTAAAAAATTTTAGTACTTTCAGATTCCGGTTGTTTATGCATCTTTCCATTCCCCTGGATCTGTCACTGTTGTATGAACTTGTGAAAAAAGGTAGCAAAAAAGTAGCTGCGTTTTTGAAAAAGTAATTAAACTTTTTTTAATAATTTTAAATTTTTTTTTTAGTTTTTTAAATACTCAAAGATTATCAAACAAAGAGGGATTAATTTTTTATTTAAATTAGGTACTATAAAATTTAAATTTAACACTCATTATACAACGTTACAGCTAAACAAAAGTATTTGGTTTTAGATTAAAAAAAATAATTAGTTTTCAAAATATTCTCAGATCCTCAAGTGCAATCGTTTCATATACCAAGTAGAGCACGGCCTTAGCTTCCTAAGTATAATTTAACAATAGTTAAAAAACTAGCAACTAATAAATATTTCAATTATATTTTGGTTATAAATAGATAGACTTTAAACATAGACAAAAAATTTAATTATGACAAAAAATTTAATTATTTAATTAACTTTAAATTTGTTATAATACTATAAATTATAGCATTGGAGTGTTGAGAAAATTAAAAACAATGGATACTATATCGTAGACTTTTTTGCTTCCCTACTGCTAAACCATGTCTATTCTGTAAAGAATAGGCTTTTTTTGAAACCTCAGAAACAAGCTTTACAGCACGCTCAACAGACTGACTATGTAGCGGAAAGTCCCAACCAAGCTCACAAGGATCTGGTTTACATTCAATTGTATTGAGTAGTTCCAGATAAGTCAGGTTCTTAGTAGCAGGAGGTTCATAGATCAGTTTATCATCAAAAAGCAGATCTGCCCATGTGTCACATTCAATTTCAAGATTTCCAATATTTGGGATTTTGTTAATTCTGATATTCAATATTTGGGATTTTGTTAATGCTCTGTTTCGTATCTTTCAAATCATCAACAAAAAGGGATAAAAGAAAGTTTTCTGGAAGAAAACAATACACATTTCTTAAAACAACAGGTAGTATAATGTCTTGTATAGTTTGGCTAAAATTTTTTATATTTTTTAATGTTGTGTATAAAATTTTTGGCGCTTCAGTAAAGTTCTTTGATCTTTTAATAGCAAACCATGTGGGGCCATACTCTGTCTGTATGTAATTTACTTTCTCTTTAAGGACAGGAGTAGGTTGTTCTGTTCTTGAATGCAAAACTAAAATACGTATTGCTAATGTCAGCCACCTAGCATGATTAACTGGACCAATTTTATAATGAGCGTAAACTGGATTTACAACACCTAAATTTAAATAGATTTAAATGTTCTTTTTTAGCAATAAATTATAATAGGAGTAAACGCCTGTAATTAAATACATTAAGTAGATTAATTTTTATGTTATGTATTTTTAAAATATGCTTACCTGAACTTATACCACACACATATTCCAGCAATAACCTTTGATCAGAACTTAAGTCATTGATCACACTATTTTCTGGAAAAACTAAAGAAGTCAAAACAGGTTCGAATTTGGCAATGGGTTTATGATGAAGGTCTTGTGCTGCACCTTTTCCAATTTCATCAAAAAAGGTTTGCGGAGTGTTTGTACCGCCATCTAGCTGTTCTATAATATGGCGCAAAGGTAACTCGTTGCTATGAAGTGCACAGCCAATTTTATGAATTGTTCTGCCAAGTTTTCTTTCAAGGCTAGCACAAAGGCCAGTTTTATATCCAGTGTTGACATTTGTAATGTCAAAAACAATTCCTAACAAAGAATCAACACTGTTGTATTGTTTTAACACTTCAAAAGTAGACTGCGCTAAATTTTCTCCTGTGGCATTTAAAATATCTTTGTGTGTCAGATATCTACCTTTCATTTCTCCAGATTCTACTGTAAAACTTAGATGATAAACCTTTTCTATTAATTTATTTTTTTTGCTAATACTATCTGGCAACATACTTCTATAAACCAGGCTACCTTTATCATCCTTACTGTCACATCCAATACATGATAGATTTTGCACTATGATATTGTGTTCAGCAACAGACTGAAGACAAACCCTTTTTTTAGCTCGATTCATTTTACTTTTATCTAAAACATCAGTTTTATCAGTTTTAGTAATAACTCCAAGATCTTTTAAAAATCCATTACCAAGAGCTGCAGCAGCTTCACTCGATATCGCATACCTAAAAATTTACAATAAAATAAACAATTTTATGCGAAAACATAATAGAGTAGATTATAATCAAGTTCAAATATAAATTGCTAACACATCCATAAAAACAGCATTTTTAAGTCTTTCCATTGTATTTCTTGTAGAAAAAATTTTTAATTTGGAAAATTATTTTTATTCTTATTATTTTTTTAAAAACACTTTTTATTTGGAAAATTCCTGAATAATTAGAAATTTTAAGGAGAACAAATTTAAAAGAAAACTTCAAAAACTAAATAAACAACACAAATACGTATTATGTAATAATAAACAACTACTTAAACTAAAAGTTACTAACCGAACACACTCTAAAGCAAAGTTATCCAGCTTTCTTAAATTATATGTTGAAATAGCAATTGACTCATTATATTCTGAATCTGATGATGATTCCTAAAATTTAATATTTTTATATATTAAAGCATTTATCTTCATATATATATATATATATATATATATATATATATATATATATATATATATATATATATATATATATATATATATATATATATATATATATATATATATATATATATATATATATATATATATATATATATATATATATATATATATATATATATATATATATATATATATATATATATATATATATATATATATATACATATATATATATATATATATATATATATATATATATATATATATATATATATATATATATATATATATATATATATATATATATATATATATATATATATATATATATATATCGTTTGAATGAGAAAACTATAGACTTGTTCTTATTCTTACTATATCAGACTCCAAATTTATATCAAAAGATGATTCGCCATTATCATATGAGGGTACTTTAACATTAGAACACTTTCCTACTCTTCTTTTTTCTTTTTTTACTGAGCTCCAATCTACTGAATGTTTCCTTTTGTGCCATTTCTTGATCTTTGGTCTTTGATGTATTCTCGTTCCTCCAGCGGAATCTAAGCAAATTTAAATAAAATATCATATATTTATTTAAAAAAAACATATAAATAAATGATAAATAAGTAGATAAATTCTTGTGAAGAAAGTTCAAAAAAACTCTGTAGAAAAAGTTAAATTCTTAACTAACCTTGCACTCTGGAGGACAAACACATACTAAATGGTTATTATTGCAGGTTAGATATTTGCATTTGACCTTATCATCATAGCAGGGAACTTCGTCTAAATTGCATCTACAGATAGATATATCATAAAGATTTTCCAACGCATTATATGCTGCAACTTGAGGTCTTTTTTTGCACTTTTTTCCATTAATAAGTTTCATTGTGTTAAATGTTTTGACCAATTTTAAATAAATTGACTCACTTTTTATCAAGGGCAATTTTGGATTTACTTTTAACCAAATTTTCACAAGTTCTTGTTGGGTTTTATCAATTATGTTTGATTTATTTTTTAACTCAGATTGTACGAAATAAAAGTATCTATAAATGTCTCTATAAGTTGGTAAATCGCTTGCATTTTGAACCTCCGATGAGTTTTTTAGTGGTTTGTCTAGTTTTTGGAGCCATTTATTGCATGTTTTTTTAACAGCACTTTTTTTATTTATTATTATTATTATTATTATTATTCAGCCGATCGGTTTGTTTACAATTTTTTAGGTAAATTTTTCCCGCGTTTTCAGAATTTTCTTGTTTCTTTTGAATTGCGAATTTATTTTTCAAGTCGTAAAAAATGAAAAAAATTGTACATATAAACTTAAACGCGAAAAAACTGAAGCAAATTTGTTAAAAAGTTTTAATTAGTTCTTTATTTGTTTAAAAAACTCTAGCTATCTGAGGGCACAGGTAAGTTGATTTCAAAAATCGACCTCCCTTACTGCTGACTTGAATTCGTTTATTGTTTTATCGTTTAATACATTCCGAGGTTGCTTATTCTACATTTTAACAACTCGAAGTGTAAAAAAGTATTGCCGCTGTAAATTATTTTGCGTCAGACTTTGTTTTACTACAACTAGATCGCATGAGTTTGCATATTTATTATTTTTAATTTGATTTTAGATGCCATTTTTTATACCATAGAATTATTGATATATTTTTTTAATAGATAAGCATCTTCTGATGTTTTGATAACTCAGATTATTTTTCTATCGTCATTATAGAAATTTAAAACGGGTTATAACTAAAAAACGGTAATGACTTTGAAGACGAAGATATGTAACATACTATATATTATTTATGCTTGCAATCTTACCTAGTTTGTCGCATTTTCAACTCTCTACAAAACTTGTTTTATTTTAAATTAAAATAATTTATTGTTACAGAAAAAAATGAAAGAAAAACAAGAACCCCGTCGAGAACGATTGTACAGTAATTATGTAAATAAATACTGTTCAATCAAATAATTATGTGCACCAGAGAGTCCTTAGAAGGGGTAGGGTTGCTAAAATTAAGACAAAAAGGAACATCGAAAGATTAAAAACAAAGTTTGACTACAAAGACGGCATATTGCAAACACAAGCAGCTTGGAAATTTAAGTGTACCCAGGTATATATCTGCAAAACAAGAAAAACAAAAGTCTTTAATCAGGCTAAAGAAGAAGAAGAAGATTCCATTAGGAACTTATGGCAAAATAGAGACAACTCGAACAAAGTGCGATCAGTTGCATCGAATTTCCGCCAATAAATTGTTCCTTGAAGAGTTGTATTTCACATTTAACTCTTCGATTAATTGAAATAATATTTATAATTCAAGTGATGTTTCTCAAACACCAAAAAGTGTCAAATTCAACCCCACTGCAAAATATGAAAAGAAATTACTCGTTTGAATTTGCTTTTCCAATAAAAGAATATCTTCGCCAATATTCAGAGAAAGTAGTTTTGCAATCAACCAAGAAGTCTACAAAAATGACTATATCTAGAACAAACTAATTCCATTTATTAAAAAGCATCATTCTGATGGCGAATACATGTTTTGGCTTGATCTGGCATAGTCTTATTACGCATAATCAGTACAAAACTACATGAATGAGAAAAAGATGATTTTTGTCAAAAGAGGTCTGCAAATGTGTCTGAACGACGTACGATTGAGAATTTTCGAAGTATTCTTAAAGAAAAAGTGTATGAGAATAATTAGGTGATAACCTTGAGAAATTGCGCAGAAGAATAAAGTACTGCCTTTCTAAAATGGAAAAATCCCTTATACAACGCCTTTCTAAGTAAATTCTGCGCCGATTAGACTATGTAAGATGCAATGGTTTGATTGAAAAAAATTAATATGCGAATAAATTGCCCAACTAAAATACTATTTTTTCCTTTTTAAATTAAGTTTTTATTTCTTGAACTAAGGGGGTTATGCCCCTTCAAAGTTATTACCGTTTTTTACTTATAACCCGTTAGACTAGTGCATGCAGCTCGGTATAGTGTATGCAGCTCGGTCTTTTTTTTATTTGTTTTCATTGACATAGAAAACAAATAAAAAAAGACTTAGTGCAGAAAATTTAAAATAAACAATTTTGTTTTTGGTATAATAGAAAAAGTATAGAATCATAGTTAAGTAATTTTATTTTATTTTTTCTTTCAGTTTACTATCCAGTTTACACGATTATGTTACAATATTATTCATGATACAAAATAAATAAAACAAAGGTATAACAAGATATTACAATATAAACTAGGTTTCCGAAAGAATCTTATTAAAGATCGTATCATCTTAATATTATCAAAAAAAGATCTTATCATCGGAACCTTAAAAACTGTACAAATATATCTAGTTACAACGTGAATTTTTTTTATTTTTTATTTTTATTTCAGTTTACAATGTTATTTGTGATACAATATTTTATTATTATTTATAACTTTATAAATTATAATATATACGTTATAAATACTCAAATTTTGTTTGTTGCAAATATCAAAAAATAAATTGATAAATATTAGTAATATTTAAATATTTTATTATCAAAAAGTTTAAAGTATTATCAAAAAGGTATTATCAAAAAGGAGAAGAATTTTTTTTTAGCTTGGTTTTAAAAACAAGATAAGAAGTAGAAAAATCAAAGTTTAAACCTGGAAATAAAGTATATTCATTTTCAAGGTTTAAAGGTTAAAAAAATCTTTAAAAATGGATGGGAATAAATTACCTTTCTACATATAAACAAAATATAATATATTAATTATGAAAACTACACATTTATATTCTGTTTATATATTTTATACATTTTTATCTCAAAAAAAATATTTTGGTTGTCAAAAATGATTCGCTAAATTAATCACATTTTCAAAGTTTATATAGCAATGAAAAAAAGATAATGTTGCGTCTTTTTATTTAGATAAGTTCTTGCCTTATACAGAATTCTAATTTTAGTGCAGATGTAATCAATATGGTGTTTTCATATAATATTTTTATTAAGACAAACTCCCAAAAATTTTGTAACTGAATCTCTTTGAATTTCAACTTGGGCGATAAAGATACACGCTTAGTTTGTACGTAGGAACCGTTTTTTTATCAGAGAATGAAAAAGAACACATTTTTTTTTATTAATATTTAAAGATAAATTGTTACATTTAAACCAATTAGGTATGTTAATTCTTCATCTGCATTAGAAAAAAGTTGGTGAATGTCATTATTAGAAAGGATTAAGTTGATATCATCAGCAAACATAATAATAATAGATGATATCATTTATTAATAATTTAAGTCATTTATGTCAACCAAAAAAAGCAGAGGAAAATTGAACCCTGCGGTACTCCGCAAGATATATTTAAAAAAAGAATTTCGACAAAAATCACTGCAAGTAACAAGTTGTTTTCTGTTTGATAAATAGCTTTTAAACCATTTTATAGCTTTGTTATTTATTCCTTAATGGCTTATTTTATAAAACAAAAAGTTGTGATGTACAGTGTTGAATGTCTTGGAAAAAGCAATAAAAATATTTAACGTAAATTGAAATTTTTTAAAAGAACTTGAGGTTTCTCGCAGAGGCGGATCTAGAGTTCGGCGCTTTAGGCGGCCGCCTAATGAGAATTATTATATTACTATTAAGATGTAATTTACTTGACATTTTAAAATTCCACCGGGCATTTTTTATTATTCACAGTTTTGGCGTTGCTGACGCGTAACTTAATTACGGTAAGCGCGGGATTTTTACAAATAAATTTTGCCTAATCTAATCTAGGTACGAGGTGTGTATTTTATTCATTGGATCGCTTGATTTGCAAAAAAACTAAAAAGCTCCGAGCACGTGCTGAAAAGAGGACAAAAGAATTCCTTCATAATTTAAAATCTTCTGCGCTTTGCTTATCACAGCCAAATGGTGCTAAGCCTTCACCACCATCAAATTTCTGTAAAGGTTACGAGACAATGAATGAGAAAGAGGTACCTAAACCTGATGACTACGACTATAATTCCAGACCGTCAGCTTCATCACTTTCGCAAATGCGTACAAAACTTACTAACACCGCCGTAATAAGTCAAATATTTGGGGTACCGATTCAAGCTACGGCTGCCGTTAATCTAATGGCTCTTGCCATTAGATTAAGTTCTCCAGATGGATAAACAGATGATTAAAATACACTTAAATCTGGTTTAAAGTAAAATATAATCAGATGCGGCTACATTGTCCGCTACTGATTTTGTTTATTGGTATTCATACCACTCTTTTATCGGTTTCCTTAACAATTTTGCTAAAGTGCAGATTTATTTAGTTAGAAGTTACAATAAATACAAATAAAACAAAAACAGAAAGAGTACAAAATTGGTGATATAATACGTTTTATATCACCAAAATTGGTGATATAAAACGTATAGTAGTATATATCAAACTTTTAGTTTGATATATATATAATATATATCAAACTTTTAGTTTGATATATATTATATATATATATATATATATATATATATATATATATATATATATATATATATATATATATATATATATATATATATATATATATATATATATATATATATATATATTTAAACAATTTTAAAAATGTATTCTACAAAAAAAAGTTTATTTTTATTAGTTTATTTTTTTCAGGTTTTCAGTATTTGCAATGTGACATTCAGACTGAATTTAAAAGTCCTTCTTTAATAATAATTATAATAATAATAAGTATTGCTGTTGAGAACACCATGTTGAATCTATGACAGTTTTTTAACTATAATAATTACTAATTTAGATAATAAATAAGTAATAGTTATATAATGTTTGCTATAAGAAAACTCTTTGGTTATAAGAAAACTCAGAAAAAAGAAAAATTTATAAAATAGGATTAAATCAACAATTTTTCTTCTTTTGGTCAACGTTGTTAGATTAAATTTGATTAATCTTTCTTCATATGGTAGGTGTCTAATTTCTGGTACTACCTTAGTCGCATGTTTCTGTATATTTCGAGTATATTAACTTCATTATAAATATAAGGATTCCATACTATGAACCTTCACCAGAGAATGCCTTTAATAATATTGAACCTTCACCTGAGAATGCTTTTAATAAACCTTCTTACCCCTATAAACCATTAACACCTGAGAAATATGGACTTACCAATACCAATCTTGAAAACTTTCCTAATCAGCCTCCCCTTTATCAACCTCCACTAGCTGAAAATCTTGTCAATGATGCTTGTCCGATCATCTAATCTAATGGCATCCTGATAGGATGCCATTAGATTAAGTTCTCCAGGTCTTGCTAAGCGAGATCCAGGCACCCTAAACATATGACGCTGGTTGACAACAGCCATCAGAGTATTAAGATTGTATGTTTCCACCGCAGAACCATCAAATAGCTTACGTACTATAGTAGAGTTCGATCTCAGAGTGTATGTACCTTTTTGGGTTCACATCAAAATCCATCTTTCAATTATGGATGGAGCGCGGCACCTTTACAACTTAATTCAATCATCCAGATACTTGGATCAAGTAAACCGCAACGTCATTGACCCAGTAATTTCTCGGAATGCTTACTTTGCATCTCCAAAAAATATTCTGCTACACAAATCAGAACCCTCGGGGTACGAAGAGTGATAAAAACATGAGAATCCATTGAGATGGTTGGAAACGTTGTGACAAGAAAATTTTATATTCCAAAAAAAAACTTTGAAGCGAATGACTACATTGATCTAATCGACTGGTAGTCCAACAAAATTACTCCACCACCAGTACTAAATAATGTCACTACAGAAGATTTGAAAAAAATGCTAAGAGAACCAATACCGATTAACTGGATTTTTACAAAGTTCCCATGCCACACGCAAATTGCGGACATAACAAACGAGACGGATTTAATCGCTCCACTCTAAAATTGAGAAAGGCCATGATTGAATTTAGGTCCAAGAGACAGTGCAAAACCTAAAGACCTTACAAAACAACCATTTTAAAAATTACACCAAAAAATAAATTTAGTACAGTACCCAAGGATGTATAAATAGATTTTATACGTCCTTGCAGTAACTAATCGTACCAAGTAAACACAGATTCGTTCAGAATTGGTCAATATTTAGTCAAAATTGGTCGAAAAATGAATAAAATGTTTAGCGATCTATTATTGACTAAAAATCAATGCTTAATTTGAATTGTATATTTCAAACTTTTTTATATATACGTCTACTAAACACATTGATCTAAGGTTTAGAATATCGACTTTATTCAATATTGTAAACCTTTAATCAACCTTAATTAAACGTAAATATTACGTTTAATTAAATAAGCATCAATTAAACGTCAAAACAATGTTTTGACACAACGTTCTATTATCCGTTTAGAACGAAATCTAGATTGAAATCTAAATTAATTCAAAACAAACGTCCATAAAACGTCTATAACCAAACGTATTTTAGACGTCTATTATAGGATTATTATACGTATATAAAACGTTTAGATTTTGTCTAACTTACGTTTAAATCTAGTCTAATTAACGTATGTAGAGCGTTTAGATTTAGTCTAAGTAAACGTATATACGTTTACACACAAACGTCTATTAAACGTCAAAACAACGTTTGACAAAACGTTCAGATTTGGTCGATTATCCATTTATAATGAAATCCAGATTAACGTTAAGAACAAACATCCATAAAACGTCTATATTCAAACGTATTTTAGACGCCTATTATAAGATTATTATACGTATATAAAGCATTTTGATTTTGTATAATTTACGTTTAAATCTAGTCTAATTAACGTATATGAAGCGTTTAGATTCAGTCTAAGTAAACGTATATTAAACTTCTTGTCTAAAAGTTTCTTTGATTTAGTTAACATAATTTCAACTTATTTATGTTTTAAAACTTACATAAATTAAAATTGGGTTAAAACTTTTTAACTTTATATAAGTAATAAGGTCTTGAAATTATAAATAAGATATAGCTATAAAAGATCTGGTCTTATTTTTTATATTTTTTATAACTATTTCAATATTTTTATACTATACTACTTATACTATACTTTTATATTATAAAACTATATATAAAGTTATAATGATATAAAATATATTATATAATATATAAATAGTTTGTTTATTATATTTAAATAAAGTAATAAATTATTGTTTATTATTTTATTCAAATATAATAAACAAACGATTTATATTGCTTCTTATCTCTAAATTAAAGATAAGATTAGATTGTTTAGAGTAATTTTTAGTCTAATGTTGTTATATATTTGTTATATAATGTTGTTATATATTTGTTATATATAATATTGTTATATATTGTTTATATCAATCAAAAACAATTAAAAACTGACCAATTAAATTATTTAGCCAATGAAAAATTATTTTTCAGTCGTTAAATAATTAAATCAAACTTAAATACGTTTTCAAGATTCTTCCTTGCTACAACTAAAAGCAAAGCGACTGATAAGTAAATAATATCCGAATTTCGAATGCCATTTTAATTCATGGAAGTTAAAAAGCTCTTTTCGCAACGATCTACCTTCTTAAATACCAACAAAACAATAAACTTCAATGTTTTAAAAATTATTGATAGCCGCATTGACACAGTAAAAAATTATGAGTTGCTGGTCTCTCTTTATGAATGTCTTGCTGCAAGAACTTTTTTTCGTAAGTTTTATAAACAGTTTAAATTCATTTTGTAAACGTATGATTGTGTAACAGTAGACATTCATCTTTATTATCAAGAGGTTTAATAACTATTTATTTTTTTATTTTAGATGCATTTTGGCTTAATTTAGTTTACATTTGCTAAAGAATATTAGTGGAACTGAGCTGGTAAAAACCACTGCAAATGTTATGTCGCAGTGTTATTAATTTTGTAATGTCAAAAATAAAGATGGATAGTACAGGAAATTTCGGAAAACTTCAATTCAGAAAATCCTCTATACGTAAAGTTGTTCTGTGTTTTCTAATTTTTATTTTGATTTATGAATGTACATTTAAAATGGTAACTCTTTTGCCCTAATTTTTTGCGGTTACAAATCAGGTTTCGAAATCAGATGATCAGGATATGAATGTAGAAGATGATGTTGCACAAGAACAGATGCACGATAAACAAGCGGTAGACGGTATACTAGGAAGATTTTTGGTAATGCATAAACCAGAGAAAACACTGATCCAAAATATATATGTTTATGAGTTTATTAATTTTACTAGTAATCTTTAATTTAATCCTAATGTAAACTTTTATTTTCTGCTAATGAGATTAAATTTAAAAAACATTTCATAGAAATTGTTACTATAAAGTTTCCACTGCAAAATGCTTGATCAGTTAATTTTTTTTAATTATCGAAGCATAAACAAGTATAGTGCACGAACATTTTTTCTCTAAATACCAACTATATGAAAACGTTTTATATAAGTTTGTTTAACTTTATATTTAGTTTTATAATATAAAAGTTTAGTATACTATACTTTTTGTATATAAATAGTATAGTATAAAAGTTTATAAACATATTATAATAGTTATAAAAAATATAAAAAGTAAGACCAGATCTTTTATAGCAATATCTTCTGATAATATTAATACGCTAATTTAATATTATTAGTCGAATTACGTCATTTTCTAGGCTTTTCTATTTTAAAGTAGTTTCTAGGCTTTTCTATACGCGGTTTTTTATTTACTAACAACGCGTATTACGGGTTGCTTACTGCTCAGGGGCGGATCTAGGATTTTATATAGGTGTAGCTAAAATTTGTAAAATTACGTCATAATTGCAACTATTTAATAAGTCGGTTAGTCTACGTCAAAAAGACGTCCTACAATTACGTCATGTAGACGCCGCCAGACAGTTTTTTTATCTGAGCGTTTTTAATTCAGTTTTTGCACACATTTTTTTCATTTATTTTTAATGGATTCTAGTAAAATAATTAATGGTAAAATATAAAATTTGCCTTGGCTATTCTGTTCGTAATTTAGACATGTCTAATTTACTTAACGAAGTGCACCAACTAGAAGGTAAGCCATAGGACTTTGCACTCCATATGTAAGTTGTTATGCTGTCTAAAGTTAGCTCTCTAATTCTGGATTCTTTCCTTTATATTTTTATTACTAATAGAATAAATGCAACTATCACTGCATTAACAATATGATATCGTGATTTATTCAAAAGATATTTACGTATATATTACTAAGATATTAAAGTTGTATATTACTATATATAAATATATATTAAAAAAAAAAGATTTGAACAGTCTCATTATCTATAGAATCCTCAGGAAGCTAATTTATAACATCTTTGTTTTTTATGATTATCGAGCACTCTTTTTGTAGCATATTCAAATGAAATCAACACATATTTAAATTTTTTATTTAGTGGTTTACATTATTTAGTTTAGAACAATTTTTAAAACATTTTACATTTTAGATGTCAAGGATTATGAAATGAACACAAAATAGAAAATAAATTTACTTATTAAACATTTATAAAAAATAAAAAAAGATGCTCTTGGAGTAAATTAAACAATGAAAAAAATAAAAAAATGATTGTGAATATAAGAGAGATTCAATTGTTTTATTTTATTATATATAAATATAATTATTATTCAATCATAGCCAATTACTTAAGGCTTAAATAGCAACTTTGAACATCTCTCTCCATTAGCTGAAAGTTATATGCTATCAAGACCCGTCTTTATCAAGAACCATTTCAGTATAAATTGACATTAAAGCTAGGTCATTCAATGACTTTTTTAACACTCTACTTCTTGAATAAGTTTTTAATCTCTTGGTATTGTACCTAGAATTAAACCTTTAAAATATTCAAGAATGTTGGGGAAATAAGTCATTGTCATGAGTTTTGTTTATAAAATACTAGATAGGGGTTTTGACTGATATATCTAAATAGGCTTCCATATTCCAACTCTGCATAAATAAAGATTGAATGCAGAGTTGGAATGATAGATATCTAGAAATTCCCGAAAAATTTGCAAATCTTAGTTAGTTTTCAAGTAGCTTAACATGACAGTTGGAACTGCACACATCCTATATAAACCAACTTGCTTTCTGTTTGAAATTTTATATAATTAAGAAGTTCATTAACAAGATGGTTCAGTAGAGGTAAAGTGATAGAAAGCTTAAAATAATCAGATGATGAGTGATTATCATGATTGATTTGCTTTCCACATTTTCTAGTTTTTTTGTTCCTTTACATTTAAAGTAAGAGCTAATTCAAAAGCAATATTAGACCAATTGTAGCAATATAAAAAATTCAATCCATCAAATTTTGGTTAAAACTAAAGTTACATTGAAATAAAATTCAAACATCAACTATGAGGAGACTAAAAGATAAATACCTAGAATTTTCTGTTTTCAAACTTAACAAGTAAAACAAACATTGATTAGCTTGGCTTTTTCAACAGAAAGATAATTATTTGAACATGCCTGTATTTTCCGACAAAGGCCACATTTAAATAATTAAAGACAGTCAACAAACCTTAAGAAATCTTTACGAGTATTATAGTTATTGCCTATATATCTTATAACGATAGACTACTGTTTAAGATTGGCACAATCAGATGCTTTATCAGTTAAAACTGAATAGTGTTTACTATTATTGATTTCAGAAATAAGAATCTTCTCAAAAGCCTCTCTACAACACTCCATAAGTTGTTTTTGTGCGGTTTAAGAAATAATGTAACATTTTTAGAGACAGATATTAAATGATTTTATAAGATAGTGTAACCTGCATAAATTCCAAAATTAAGTAGCTCAAAAATATTTTTTTCAACTCTTTCTTGAGAACTCTTTTCAAGAGAGTTCTCAAGAAAGAGTAAGGAAATATTATATTATAAAATAAAAATATAATACAATATTGGAGACTATAATACAAGAGACTCTTATATTATAGTCTCCAATACTGTATTATATTTGATTCTAATTAACAATAAAATCAACTTATAAGATCCTCTTTAATTAAAGCTTCAATTTGAAGATTAAAATTTTTTTAGAAGAAATAAAAATCTAATATTTTAATTATTTACATTTATAGCAAAAAAAATAAAAATTGTTTATATAGCTCTGTAGCAAAACTATTATTTATATTAATAACCTGTTTAATAAAATAATAATGTTTTAGTTAAATGTTATATTATAACATTTCTTATAATAAGAAATATGAAATGGCATTTGTAAGATTAGAAACTATTCACTGTATTACAACTAAAACAAGATGCTTACATATATTAAATAATATTGTAGATGGAAAAAATATAAATGGTAAGAAAACGGCGGACTTGTACACGACGCACCCCCTATGAAATATTAATAATCGTGACCAAAACTGTTTATTCTGTCTAAATTCTTACGTTCAAATAATAAAAGTATATTTCGTTGTGTTAATCCCTATTTATTAGTCAAAGCATTTACATTTAATTCTATTTATCACTTATGATCAATTGAGGTAATTACACTTTAAATAATTAAATTAATTAATTTTACTTGGTCAGTAAAATAGCATTTTCGATAAAACGTGTTTTATACTTAAGGGGGTGCGTCGTATACAAGTCCGCCAAGAAAACTACTGTAACGCATACATTTCTACCAATTACTCGTCCTTCAGGTATAAGCATTGATGAACACCCACAATTTTTAAGTTATTTACCATTAAAAACCAACACACTTTCAGAAATGACAGTTGAAATAGTTAATGGTGATCGTCATGCTGTAGATTTGAGTAAAGAAAGATTAATAATTCAATTTCATTTAAGAGAAGTAAAATAATATAAATAATTTCTTACATATATAAAAAAATGAGCATATGTATTTCTTATAATAAGAATTTTAAAACAATAAACACAGAAACAGTTGTAAATAAGTAAACTAGTTACAGCTATAAAAGGCTAGTTATTTTTATTACAAATATAGTCCGTGAAAACATAGTTAAAAATATACCTTAAAGCTACAAAAGTTTTGTCAAAACCTTGATCCATTATAAAATATGGCATAAAAACATTTATATAAGGGCATTTTCAAGCCAAAAGTTTAACTACGAAATTAAACTGGTGAAATATTCAAACCATTTCGTTTTGTAAACAATTTTTTTCGCAACATTAATAATATGAATGTGAATCAATAGCATTTGGAACAGTTTTTTTTAAAAACATATCCGCCATGATAACCAACTTACTAAGAAAATAATAACGGCGCTTTCCTTATTTAAATATAGTTGGGTATAAAAAGTCTGGGAAATAAGTACAGCCATAAGTTCAGCCATAAGTACAGCAATCTAGCCACGGGCTACGAGTGTTGACGGCATACGACTTTTCGATAAAAATACATTACGTTAAAAAAAACAATTTAGTCAGCTTATGCCGTAAAATCAGGTCGTTTGTGGCTCAGCCACAAACCGATATGCAATGACCGATCTTTTTTTTAATTCCGGTTTTTTTAGTTTTAAGTAATCGCTTTTTAAGCAGCAAATAAAAATAAACTTATCTTGATTGTTTATATTATTTTTATTTTGAAAATGTGTCGGAGTGTTATACTGTTTTTTATTTCGTTGATTCTTTTAAGGTGTAGCCTTAGCCACAACGGCTATACCCTAGATCCGCGTCTGCTGCTAGTATTTATAAATTTCATTACTTTTATAACTATATCTTATTTATAAAATTTAAGACCTAGTTAGCTCTTATTAATTATATAAAGTTAAAAAGTTATAACGTAATTTTAAATTATGTAAGTTTATGGCCTCTCTAATTTTAGATTTTAGTGATTTTAACGAAATAATCACTAAAATAACCTATTAATACATTTATTTCATAGGAATAACAACCGCGGAAAATTTGCTGCCAAGTGTAATAACTCCTTAATTTTAACGGATTATTCGTTGCACTAACGAAATAAATCCGTAAATTTAACGGACTTCAATTCGTTAAAATTTTAATTCGTTAACTTAACAGATTTCCCGTTAGTGCAATAGCGAAAGATACAATTCGTTGTATATAACGGATTTTTTCTTAGAGTGTAGCACCAAATACAGTTCGACACGGATGTTTTTGTTTACTGTAAAGCTTTATAGTTTTGTATGATTAGTGCTTGCTCAAGCAATGTTACAGTATGTTAAGTAACTATGAATAAAAGCAAAGTATAAATCTTTTCGTGATTTAAAATTAAGAAATGCTTTGAAACATTGAACTGCGAGTAATCGGCAATTTCTTTTATTCAACTTTCTAAATTTCGCAAATAAACAAAATGAATTTTGCAAAAAAGCAAAGTATAAACTTTTTAGTAATTTAAAATTAAGAAATGGTTTGAAATATTGAACTGCGACTTGGTAATTTTGTAAATCGACTCTTGAGTAAAATGGTTTCAAACATTGAACTGCGAGTAATCGGCAATTAAATTTTTTAAACCAAAGTAAAGAATTAAAAATCTAAGTACGATAAAAACTATTGTGAAGGTATCGACACTTTTTGGTGATTTAAAAGGTACACATTTCGAGAATATTATTTTACTTTGTCTATAATAGCAATTGCTTCAGAAACCGAAGCAAATATATCAGACGCAATAATAACAACATATGTTGTACAGCCTCACATTACAGCTCAAGTAAGCTATTCAAGAAAGTGGATGCTTATATGACTTGTCTTGTTCATAATATACGAAAAGAAATATTTGTTGATCAACTATTTTGTCTTTCACATGCAGCTTAAGCTTTTACAAACAGCTTTTGATAGAGCTCTCATAAAATTTTAAAATCAAATTGATATGAAATGAATTCGGATAATCTTATTAATGTTTTTCTGTTTTGTTCTGTTTCTTTATTAACAAAAGTATCGTAATATTATCTTTGACCTTTCTCTCCTGGATTCTAAACTACCCAGTAAACACACAGACGTCTACTAAACGTCAAAACAACGTTTTGACAAAACGTTCAGATTTGGTCAATTATCCGTTTAAAATGAAATCCAGATTAGTGTTTAGAACAAACGTCCATAAAACGTCTATTATAGGATTATTATACGTATATAAAGCACTAAGATTTTGTCTAATTTACGTCTAAATCTAGTATAATTAACAAATATGAAGCGTTTAGATTCAGTCTAAGTAAACGTTTGTTAAACTTCTTGTCTAAAAGCTTCTTTGATTTAGTTAATATAATTTCAATTTATTTATGTTTTAAAACTTACATAAATTAAAATTACGTTATAACTTTTTAACTTTATATAATTAATAAGAGCTAACTAGGTCTTAAATTTTATAAATAAGAATTGTGACTTCATAACCAAATAATCCTTATATTTGTTAATGTTTGCATTTTTATTTAATTGCATTATTTTATTTCGATATTCTACATTAAAACGTTTTAACCAAAAATTGAAAACTAATCAAATATTTATAATATTTAATCCAATATACTTTAAACTACAATAAAAATACTTAAAAAAATTTTTTAATACACTATACTCAAGCTAGTAGTAGTAGTAGTAGTAGTAGTAGTAGTAGTAGTAGTAGTAGTAGTAGTAGTAGTAGTAGTAGTAGTAGTAGTAGTAGTAGTAGTAGTAGGTAATTCATTTATATAAAAAACACACACACATATAATAGATGTTTAAAATAAACCAATGCTAAAATAGTTTTTGGTCGCTAGTTTTGGTTTGGTTGGTTTAAATAGGTTTTGGTTTTGAATACTGTTGTTACTCGTACACAGGTTCGCACTTTAAATCGGACACCATGCTGTCAACTCCTTAAAGATTAATATAAAATATAATAAGATAAATATGGAAACTTAATAACATACCTAGTATAGAACCAAAATAAAATGTTACTGATAGCACTATATAAAATGTTTTTGGTAATTCATTATATATAAATTTCTATTCTAAATTTTAATTATCTCTGATATCGTTTTTTAAAGACAAAGTTAAATGGAACAAGTAAATTATATCTTTATTAAAATGTAAATTAAAAAAAAAGTATAAGATTACCTTGACATTATCTGATAACTAAAAGACTATACATTATAACTATAACTATACATTTCACATACATCAATACCTATCAGGAGCAAAAATAAAGTATCTAACCTTTTAAAAACTATGATAAATCAAAACAAGATTAAATATGCAGACCAAAAAAAACGCAAGTAACTATATAAAAAAATTAATTTTACAACTTACTTAAACTTACAGTGTCATACCACTTGTCACAGTGTCATACCACTTGTCACATGTTTAAAATAGCTAATTCTAAAATAATAGTGAATATACAATATAGTAGAATAATAGTTAAAAAAGTGTGATATAAACTTAGTCTTAACTAAACTAAAAAAATATGCACGCCAAAAGAAATGCAAGTTAAAATTCAATTTTTTTAAATTTACTAATTCAAATTTACAGTGGGATACCACATGCCACGTGTCTAAAACAGTAAAATTTAAAATAATATAAACACGCCAGATATAAACTTATTATTATTATTATTATTAATAGTTGAAACTCAACTAAATAAATATGCACACCAATAGAAATGCAAGCTACAATATAAATTTTACAACCAATTTAAACTTACAGTATGACAGCTTATACCAAGTGTCTAAAATAGCAAATTCTGAAATAATATAAACAAGCCATACACAAACTTAGTTGTAATCTAATTATATAAACACGAACTTCAAAAGAAATGCAAGTTAAAATATAATTTTTTTTTAAATATACTAATTTAAACTTACAGTGAGATACCACATGCCACGTGTCTAAAACAGTAAATTCTAAAATAATACAAACACCACAGATATAAACTTAGATTAAACTCAGCTAAATAAATATGCAAGTAACAATATAAATTCTACAACCAATTTAAACCTACAATATGACACTAAATGCAGTGCCTTTAGAGCAGCAAATTCTAAGATAGTATAAATAAATAAACATGAATGTTAAAAGAAAAAGAAGTTCCAATATAAATTTTTTAATTTTACAACTAGTTTTAACTTACAGTGGGATAACAAATGCCGCATGTCTAAAACAAAAAATTCTAAAATAATTAAACACACCAGTATAATCTTAGTTTATGATATTGGATGCCACATGTTTAATTTGGAAATTAATAAAAATTGCAATTTATAAAAGCATATTAACTAGCCGTGTAAACTTAGCTGTAACTAACATAAATAAATATACTTATCAAAGATGTTAACATTTTTAATTTTACAACTGATTTAAACTAATATGTCATATGTCTAAAATATAAAGTTAAACAAGACTAAAAATAATCCATATAGTCTATATTATAGAAATAAATGTTCAACTAATCCTTTACTAGTAGTAAAGGATTAGTTGAACATTTATTTCTATAATATAGACTATATGGATTGCATAATTTTCTAGATTTAGACATGTAGTAACTTACCATATATTATATGTATTAACTTACCATATATATGTTATTATATATTATTTAGTAATACTAATGGCTTTTAATTTAAAATAAAAAAAACTTTATTGTTAAATTTTCTGTATAAAGCTTTATATAGAAAATTTAAAATAAGTTAAATAACCTTCGAAATAACATAGCGTAATTTAAATTATATTTATTCATTTGCTTTGTCTACTAAATGTAAAGCTTTCTAAAAAATGGCATATTACACTTACTGCAACCAACTTTTATCTACGATGACATCGTAGATAAAAGTTTTTCTCACATTTACATTTACATCGTCGATGTAAATGTAAATGTGAGAAAAACGCATTCAAAACTTTATCATTTTCAAAATAAAAAGATATATACTGAATATTTTGAATTCAAAACTTTATCATTTTCAAAATAAAAAGATATATACTGAATATTTTGAAAAAGATATATACTGAATATTTTGAATATACTGAAAATTTTTTTTTGACCGATTAGAATATTTAATCCGTTGAATTAACGAAATTTCAAAGAATCCGTAAATAGTTAATTTTATTCCGTTAATTTTTTGGTTTTTGGTAACGAATTAATCCGTTAATTTGACAAAAAAGCGCAACTCTAAAAACAGTCCGTTACTTTTTTTAACGGACTGTTTTTAGAGTGTAAGAAAGAAGAATCATACGAACCTTTCCTGTATTTACTTGGAGCATTAAACATATATAAAATCATTTACATCAAATTTTAGTTTTTATGTATAGAGCTAGGTTAGGTTTGTCTCCAAAAATATTTGAATCGTAATTACACTCAAGATTCTTGTCATAAATACACTCAAGATTCTCGAAAAACAACTTCGTTGTTCCAAAATATAGTTTGAATTATTGAGTTCAAAAATATAGTTTGAATTGAGCTCATACTTAATTAAGTAACGTGGATCTATGGAAACGTGGATCTATGAAAACGTGGATCTATGGAAAGCTAATAAAAAGATCTCTAGATCTATTTAAAAAGAAATCTAAACTTCTTATGTATGGATTACACTATGCTTGATTTTAAATGTTTCTTTTAAATAAAGTTAAACTCAAATATAAAAATTAAGATAAATTAAAAAAAAAAGTTTATAATCAAAATCCATATAACAAAGTTTATTAATGATATTACCTCTCTCTTCGAATGGTTTGTGTATGTCTGTAATATTTATTTTTTTGCTACTGTAGAAAATGTTAGCAGTTTAGCAACTACTACTTGCTACTTTATGGATAAAAACTTATATAAAACAATACGGTATATTATCTTCTAGTTTATATATATCACGTCTTTACAATAAAATATTTGTAAATTATTAAAAGATTTTATAAAAATTGTGCTCGGTGATAAGACATTATGTCTTCTTCTTGTTCCAGCAATTTTTTTCATTGTATACAATAAATATATATGTATATTCAGGCCCGTAAACAGACTAATTTTTCGGAGGGTGACATATTTTTTACTGCGGCCCACTGTTTAAAAAAAATTTTAATGGTCATTTTTTTATATATTATAACTAAACACTAAATTTCCCGCCACTAGCAGCACATGAGGGTCGATTATTTGGTTGACTTCTAAGCCACATTTTTTGCCACATAATTATTTCTTCATCAAAGAAATTAGAGATGGGGAGATCACTTTCATAATATATCATAGCTTTTTGTGTTATTTCAGATAACTCCACTGATGTTTTGACGCAGATAATAGAAAGTTCAAAACTTAATAATAACTCAATCGTTTTTGATGATTTGAATTTATCTTTCAATTCAACTAATACATAATCTATAAATGGAATGATGAGAGACCTTTTTAAATATTTTTCAATAGTTTCAAAGAGTGGATTCGCTCGATGAGATTGTTGACCTGTGTGTACTCGTGGCGCTACTGGATTTATATTTGATTTTTTGGCAAGAGACGATGCATGCTTATATATTTGTTCAGCAAATATATCTACGTATGTTCTCGTGACTTCTATTTCTGTGATAACAGTTTTAACACACTTAAAAACGTATATGATGTCACTAGATTTATTCTTCAACTTAACTATAGGCTCACGAAGAAACCACATATTTTGCAGTAGTGTAACTAGTGAAATAATAAAATTAAAACTCTCAAACACTTTCAGAAAAGACAGTGCTTGACGCTTGTCTTCAGCAGTCCACTTGTGCAGCCATTCACAATTATTGCCATATCAATTCTTTGAAATGACTTTGCAAAATACCATCAGAAACGGATGAGCTAAACAAAATATCTCCAAAACATCTAAATTTTCAACCCATCTCGTAACACAAATATCAGTAAGAACCTTTTGACTATTCAATATGTGAAAATGGCTTTCGTTTCGGTACACCAAGTTAAGAAGTTCTGTTTGCTTTGATTTAAGGTTCGCTCTAGACCAAAATAATTTGTTATGAAAACGTCTAAATAACTCTAAATATTATAACCTACTTTAAATATCGTGGATAGCGTATTCAAAATATTTTGGAATGCTAATAGGTGATCAATTCAAACAATGGTCCACTCAAATGATATGATTATTTTAGCAGGATGTTAACAAGTTAGAAGAAAGCCTTCAGCCCTTTCTAGAGTAAGGAGAGAGCCAAAGAATCACTACAATGACAGTTACTTTTGAATGATTGCCAAAGTGAAGTTTTGAACGCTACCGTTATTTATGTCTATGTTGAAGTTGCTACTTGATATTATTTTACTCTTTTACAAAGGAAGATGCAACGAATGATTATCAACTTTTTAGGCACACCTTCGAAATCAGAGTGAGTTTGATGATTTAATCAAAGGTTTAGGTTTTACTAAATCAGAAGCTGAACATACTAATTCAGAAGCTGAACTTGTTTCATCAAGGCTGATGGAATAGAATCTACGAGGCAAAGACTGCAGGACATATATAAACCGGAAATGACACTAAAAATTTGATGATTACTATAACTTGTCTAATGAACTCTGTTATTGTAAAGCTGTGACTAGTTCATTTACTTCTATTAGGCTCGTGCATTGACTTTTTTAAGCAGGGTAAAGTATTTAGGTTGATAAAAAAAAAGCAACTGGAATGGCGTTACCCAGCTAGCACATATACGTTGATAAAATGTTAGAACAATGTTGCACGTTTCGTCGTACTTCTAAAATCAACTGAAGTATATGCGTGAAAATTATTTTTTTATAAATTATACAAGTATATATTTGTAAATCTTTTCTCGTATTATGATGGTATTAGTAACAAAACCCACTATCAGACATAATAATTGAACTAAGTCACTTTTTTGATTTTTGGCCATGTGATTTCCCACTGTGCACCGTGCTCTGTGATAAGATCGTTAAATCTTTGAGCACACTAACCCCAAAAACATACGTTGGACTAATGTAACTTTGCTAACTATGTTTAATCACGTTGCTATTATTGTTTTCATTAGTATAAATACTATACAACTAACATTGGATTGTTGTATTTGTATCGGAGAAAACAGCCGACGTTCGCCTTATATTTACACACGTTGGCCCAACGTATCTGTGCTAGCTGGATATGAACCATCAGCAATCTGATTAAAAAGTAAAAAAAGCGTTATGCGGAATATAAAGAAAAAACGGATATGTGAAAAAGCAGCTTAGATCCCAATCTGACCGTAAAATAAATTCCAGAAATAATTAGCAAATTTTCAAGATGCGAAAGATGGTGAAAAAAAACTACAATTTTATCAGGACCAAAAAGCGTTTCGCAAAAAGGTTCGGAATACATTTTAGTGTATGTAGTATTCGAAATCGATTAAAAGAGAGAAGTTTTAATGCAAGAGATGCAATAAACTATTCTTTTCAAAAATCCATCAAGACCAAAGACTTGCATTTGCTAAAAAGTGTAAATATGCCGGTATCATTCTGGAAAAAAAGTTTGTAGACTGACGAGACAAAGTTTAATTTTGTGAAGTCAGATGGAGCTCAAAAGTTATGGAGAAAAAATTATGAAGCATTCACATTTAGATGCATTCAATAAACACTAAAATTTAGTGGAGGTAATGTTACGGTGCGGGCAATCGATGGCATATAACGGAGCAAAGAAACTGGAGTTTATTGATGGAATTATGAACTTCTTATACTATGTTTCATTTTTTAGTTATATCTTGAGATAATACTCTCACATTAATCAAATTTTTTAATAATTCTTTAATAACAAAATTCTTTAATAATATCAAATTTATATTTGCAGAAAATTATTACAAAAAATGGACACTCTAAACATAATTATTCTCCTGAATAAAAATTAATTATTAAAAAACTAAATATCTTTAAGTGAAATAATTTTTTTAATTTAAAATTTGTTAAAAAAAACCTAGCATAAAACAATAAATCTAAAAATAATAATTAGTAAATATAATAAAAAGCAAAATCTTTGTAGAACATGCTGCAATGACATAATAAATGGACTCATATTTGGAGGTTCTTTTAGTCTCGTTGCAGGAAGGTAAGTCGTCAAGTACAGCCTGCCAAAACCTAAAAAACAAAGATAAAAAATAACTACTGTATCACTTATCATCTATTTTCATTCAAT